TTGTATTTGGACTACCCTTTCCAAAATTAAGTTTGGATGAACTTGGTTTTGGTTTGAGGTTAGTTGAGTTGTAAACAAAAAAATGTTGTCATCAAGATAGCTTGGTGTCACGGGGCTAGTCTTTCGACCCGTGCAGCACTTAGACAATCTTCACTAAAAATTGCTAAGTAAGCCTAGCTCGTAGAAAAGGAGGATGCTTGGCTAATTTAAGGAAAGGGAAAGCTTAAGGGCAAAGGATACTTTTCAGAGAGCTTGGAGAATGTAAGAGTAGTATTGCTTTGAGAACTCAAGGTTGGTTATAAATGAGGAGGGGTGAGGTATTTATAGACCTCCCCTTGGATCTAGAAAGTTTTCACCTCCTTAATGGATGGTGAAGATTAAATCGATCTTAGGGTTACAATTGTTTCTCTAGAATTCTCTCCTAGATATTTACAATAAATATCTAGATATTTATATGAAAATATCTAGTGAAAAATATTAAAATATTGAGGCTAGAGTTGTGTAGACTTCTTTGGAACATTCTTGCACTCTCTAGCACTCATAAGATTATCCGAGAGCCTTTTGGAGGGTTTTGGAACATTCAGGAGCTCCTTAACGTCATGAAAAGTCATGAATTGTGACATTGGGCTTCAATTGTTTTTCATGCTTCTAAGTTTTAATTTCTTTCTCTGGTTCTAAATACAAGGCAAAGTAGTTACTCTTACTTCGTTCAGAATATGAGACACGTGTACATCCCATCCATTCGAATTTATAAGATATTTTAATTTTAATTTTAATTTTAATTAAAGTAATCTATATTTCTAATAAGTTTTTTTCGCTGAATCTAATAATTTATTTAATGACATTTGAAATTATATGTTTTTTATATTTATTTTTATTTAATAAAGTATCTTAATTAAAAAATGTTATTAATTACAATCTTAATTAAGAGTATCATTAGTAAAATTTTATTAATTACATATTAAAAAATTTAAAATATTTTATATTTTTTTAACATGATATTTTAAAAAAGTATCTTATAATAAAGAATGAAGAGGATAATGTTTATATTTTTTTTCCTCCTATCCAACCTTACTTCATTTTTCACGTCCTTCCTACTAGAGAAGCTTCGTTTAGGATTTGGATTCATTACCTGCAGCAACTACAAGCACCTAGTACCTCTATACATGTGTCATCATCTCATGCTATCAATTAAATCAAGGTAATAGCTCTAAGAAATTTGATGCAACCATACATGTGAAACACCCTATTGCATTCATCTACAACTAATCTTCTTTCCTTTTGACTGCGTCTTCTTCTGTAATGAGTTCTCAAGCAGTGGCGTGGACAATGTCATCCTAATCGCTTTCCATCTTCAGAAATCTCTCCTTCCTCTTCCTCACAGCCCCCATCCTTCCCCTTGAATCTTGTGATTTTGCTCTCTTGTAAGCACAACCTCCTCTATTTCGCATGCATTTACATTCAATCAATTTGCAAGTTTTACTCTTTACTCCACTCCTTCGTCTCTCCTTTGATATAAATACTGTATTTTGAAGTAGAGAGGAAGAAGGGGTAGAAGAAGAAGAGAGTGCATTAAATATGTGGTGGATTCAAGGACAGATGGACAAGAATTTAGGAGAAAGTATCGCGTGAGTCACAATTCTGTGTATTCAAACTTAGAAGTGAAGGTGAAAGAGACCTACAATTAGGGCTGTGCAAAAGTTTCGTGGTTTGGTTCGGTTCGGTCTGACCCATGAAAAACCAATCTTATCTAGTCCTATAAAATGCTGGTCCTATAAGACTAAAAAGACTAAAAAGACAGGACTGATTTTTCAGGTAAGACTAGACTAGAGACCAAGCATCTAGACTAAGTGGTCCGGTCTGGTCCTATATAATTATTTTAATATAATTAAAATTAATTTATAAATTTTTAATTAATAAATTTTAGTCTTCTAACCGAAAAAAAAGTCTTAGTCTTGCCTTGCACTTTGCACTCTGACTGAAAAAAAATGCAACACTGTTGCATAGCCTACTCAACAGCACTCAACCACTCACTCAACTCTGCTCTCATTCTCAATTTCTTCAGTGCATCGAAGCTCTAGCCCCTGCCCTCCTCCAATGTGCCACTAGCCCACCTCCGTCAATCGCATTTGTATATTGCATCATTTAATTTATAAATTGCATTTTTATAGTTACTAATCACTTTATATATGTGTATATAATTTATTTTTGACAGATGCTTCAAGTGTTATCGATGCTAGGAAAATAATTATTTAAAGATTTGTTGAGTTTGTTTTTATTGAAGATAAGGAGATAACTACATGACAGATGTAATGTAGTATTGAACTTTGCTAACTGTTATTATTGAAGTTAGATTTAAATTATTTGGAGTTTGAATTGTAATTGAAATATTTTTTTCTTGATGTTAGAAATCATTATGGATTTATTATGATTATAAGTATTTTTATTATCTTAATTGAGTTTATTAGGTTAAAATAGATTATTGTTTATCATAGAGAAACAAGAAAAGAAAAAGGCCAAATGAGTATTGGACTAACAGGATCAGTCTTCTAGTCCTGTGGACCAAGTTCGGTCCTATTAATTTTCGGATTATCACAGGACCAAACTAGATTACGAGTTATCTAACTTAGTCTTTTTCATGAAAAGAATCAGACTACGGGTTAGGCTGAAGTCCAGTCTCGTCCAATCCTTCGTACATCCCTACCTACAATGTTGTGAGTGAGATGCCATTTAAAAGAGGATATTTAGTGCTTGTTTGGATTTCAGTTGGGTATAATAGATTATGAAAATAATTGATTATAATATATTATAAAAATAATTAATTAAATGATAGATTTTAATCATAATTGATTATGCTATAACACAATCTGTTTGGATACTATTTTTTTAAAATTAATTTTAATATAATTGAAAATGTTTGAATAATTTAATCAGAATTAATTTTAGCTATATAAATTACTATATAATTTAATTTTTAAATATCAAATATTAATTTTTTGAGGATACAAAGTTTTAACTTTATTAAGAAAAAAAAGTTAAGAGAAGAGAGTTTGATTTTATTTTTATTCAATATTGTGTCTTTTTTATAATTTTTTCTTGGGTTTCTTTTTATAATTTTTCCCAACACTTTTGATCAATTTTTTATGAAAAGCTGATTGAGAGAGCTTACAGAAAAATGCCTATCTTAGCCCATAATTAATTTTTGAATTTTTTTTAACTGTTTGGATAACTTGGCTTAAAAAATTAATTTTGAGATAAAAAATTAATTATTTTTCTTATCCAAACACATATATTTAGTGTTTCAAGCCTATGGTTGCGTCAAACTTTTAAAGCCATTGACCTAATTTATATCATTGGATGATGACACGTGTATACAAGTGTTGGGTATCGGTAGTTGCTACCAGTACCCAATCCAAATCCCTCCATTTATTGCTGGTTTCATTATGTTTCATGTGAATTATTTTTTTGTTATTCTTAAAAAATTATACTCCACTTGTTTCATTATATTTGTCTTTTGAATATATTGCACACATATTAAAAATATAATAAATATGTAAACATGACATACTTTATCAAATTTGCCCTTCATTTAATGCCTCTAAAAAAATTATAATAATAAATAGTAAATTACTTCAAAAAGAAAATAAGAGAAATGTCATTAGATATTGCTCTGCAATGATGAAAAGATACATTACATGACACAATTTTTTCCTTAAAAAGACATAATAAATTGGGGGAGTAGTAGTTTGCGTATATTCATATCTGTGTTCTTTTATCATTTTTATTTGACTAAATTCATAGTTAACATGACATTATTTTTCTTTTCCTCTTATACCATCACATAATATGAGTCTATTTCATTCTCACATACATGTAACATGCGCGAGGAGCTGTGTGTGAAGTACCCCCAAGTATCAAATGCAATTGAGAAAATATATTTTTAAATTCTTATGTTTTGTTTAAATTTTGTTATAAATTTTTAAATTTTTTTATGTTTTAAATTTTTATACTTTTATTTTTTGATGTTTAAAGTGTAAGGATTCAAAATAAAAAAAATATAAAAATTTATAATAAGATTTAAACAAAATGTAAAAAATTAAAATTATTTTTTTTCAAAACAATATGACGAATGAAAGAAACATTAACATTAAATTCTACATACAAAATGAAATCTTCATTGATCCTCAATTTAACTCGGCGCCGAATGCAAATAATCGCTCTCCTTTTCTCCCCCTCTCCCTCTCTCTTCCTGCTTCCGTCTCACCCAAGTCTCCCGCTCCACCCCACTGCACTTCTCTATCGCACCTCTCCCTCGTTCTCCCTCCCATATCTCCCCCTTCTCCTTCTCCTTCTTCAGGTTGCTGCTATTCACGCAAACGCTGGCTTCTCCCTTTCTTTCCCTTCTATGCCTCACCGCCTTGCTTGTGTTTGCTTCACATTCTTAGATCCTGTGGATTCCTAGGGTCTCTCTTTTTCGATAAACTACTGACTTCAAGGTGGAAGCTTTATCTTTCTATTTCCGAGAGTGTTGTCTTCTGTTATTGATACTTTGTGCTTCCAGTTGCTGCTGCATGTGATCGTTGCTTTTTTCAGTCTTCCTACGGAAAACCGCTTGTTGAATATTTTGTTCCGCCTCTAGTTTGCTTTCTTGTTTCATCTTCGGCGGAATGTTTTTATCCTGCTTTGAAGGATGGAAAACTGACGCCATGGTGTCTTTTTTATTATTTCTACTCATTTTTTCTTCCATACCGCCCAAACGCACATTCATTTATGACTTACGTATTGATTCCTTGAGTTGCATTTTCTTCTGAAGCACGCTAAGTTTTTTTTTCTGGGAGGTTTTCCTCTTTGTTCAAAAGGGTCATGTTTGGGTCAATCAAATCCAGTTCCAAGTTTGTTTTTCTGTTCCTGCTGCAATATGGACAACAGAGGCTAGCCCTTTTTTCCCATTCAAAATATATGTAGATGAGCAGCATTCTCCTTAAAAAAGATCGGAAGATTATATGCCACGCAAGACCGGACCCACCTGCAGAACTGTATGATATTTATCCTTGTTGCCTACATTTTATTTGTGAACCCGCAACAGATACGAACTCTTATTCTTTCCATTGTTATTATAGAGTTATTTATTTAGCTTCGTGATTATTCTGAAATAAGCACGAGCGTGAGTCTCACTTTCTAATGAAAGTAACAAAATGAGATGAATAAAGTTCTTAAATTTCGGTTAATTAAATAAACTTCTGAATCATTCTAAAGGTTAAAGTAAATTCTAGTTTGTAAAAGTTGCTGGTTTACCCTCAACATGTAATAAAGAGAAATTTCATGTGATGAGTCAGATTTATCAACATCTCTAAGATGCCTTCTCAAATAAAATCCCTTTGGTTTTGGGATTTAATCGTGGACTACAAATTTGCTCGCCGTGTCTTTTGCTGTTGCTTTAACTTTAGTCTCATTAGAAGAATTGAGATGGCATGGATGGGATGTTTTTCAATATGGTTCCTCACAGAACTGTTTTCTGGATTTGATTCCTCACCAGTGGTATTTCATAATTCGGTCTCTCACAAACAACCATTTTCAACGACATCCTTTTGTTAATTTACTCTTAATGAAACTAACCATCACTCTTCATATTATATAATGGTGAATGAGCTATAGCCTATATAAAATTAAATGTCATTACGTTTGTTGATTCCATATGCAATGGATTGGCTTAAGGACATTATTTATAACAAGCTGAGAAATTCCCATATGTGATTGAACAAATTGTGAAGACAATTCTATGAGGGACTAAATTAAAAATATTCAATTTGTGAGGGACTAAATTAAGAAATACTCTGTTTATGAGGGATCTAAAGAGGGTTTTGATTGTCTATTAATATCTCTAATGTTAATAAAAAAGATTTTTTTCATTTACAAAGAAAAGTAGTCCAATACATTTGTTGTATGTTATAGCGTGTGCGCATGATGTAAATAACTGGAGAATTTAATCTTTGCCAACAACAACAACAAGCCTTTATCCTACTAGGTGGGGTCGGCTACATGGATTACAAGACGCCATTGTGCTCTATCATTTATTAAGCTTTTAGAAATATTATTAATTAAGAGATCACGTTCAACAACTTCCAAGAGTGTTCTCTTAGGCCTTCCTCTACCTCTTTTAGTCGGACTCAAAGTTATATGTTCCACTCTTCTCACTGGTGCCTCCCTTGGTCTTCTTTATACATGCCCAAACCATCTCAACCGATTTTCTACCATTTTTTCCTCAATAGGTGCCACCCTCACTTTTTCACGTATATGCTCATTTTGAATTTTATCTTTACGTATATGTCCGCACATCCATCGTAACATTCTCATCTCTGCTACTCCAACTTTATGCTCTTGTTGTCCCGTTAGAGCCCAGCATTCACTACTATATAACATTGCCGGTCTGATAGCAGTACGATAAAACTTTCCTTTAAGTTTATTAGGCACCTTACGGTCACAAATAACTCCTTTAGCTTTTCTCCAATTAAACCACCCAGCTTGAATTCTATGTGAAATATCTCCACTGATTTCGCCATCATTTTGTATAATGGCTCCCAAATATCTAAACTTTTCCACTTGAGGTATAATTTGATCTCCCAATTTCACTTCCAAATTATTTTCGAATAGTCCTTTACCAAATTTACAATATAAATATTCCATCTTACTTCTACTCAGACGAAAACCTTTCGACTCCAATGTCCTCCTCCATAACTCAAGTTTGCAATTAACCTCTTCTCTTGTCTCTGCTATAAGAACTATATCATCCGCGAAGAGCATACATTTCGGGATTTCCTCTTGAATATGTTCCGTCAAAACATTTAAAATCAAGTTGAACAAATAAGGACTCAGAGATGATCCCTGATGTAGTCCAATCTTTATAGGAAAATCCTTTGTTTGACCACTAGGCGTTCTTATACTAGTTTTTACCCCCTCATACATATCTTGTATGGCTTTAATATAAGCAATCCGTACTCCCTTTTTTTCCAACGCTTTCCAAAGCACTTCTCTTGGTATACGGTCATAAGCTTTTTCCAAATCAATAAAAACCATGTGTAGATCTTTATCTTTACAACGATACTTTTCCATTAATCCCCTTAGTAGATAAATCGCCTCTGTAGTTGATCTACCTGGCATAAAACCAAATTGATTCTCAGAAATACTTGTCTCCAATCTCAACTTGTGCTCAATTACTTTCTCCCACAATTTCATTGTGTGGCTCATGAGTTTAATCCCTCTATAGTTAGTACAGTTCTGAATATCTCCTTTATTTTTATAAATAGGAATTAATGTACTTCTCCTCCACTCATCAGGCATTTTCTTGAACCGTAAAATCACATTAAATAACTTAGTTAACCATCTCACCCCTTCTTCACCTAAACATTTCCACGCTTCGATAGATATACAATCAGGTCCGTTAGCTCTACCATTTGTCATTTTCTTAAGAGCTTCTTTTACCTCCTTATCACATATTTTTCGATAGAATGACAAATTTTGTTCTCCTTCACCAATTACTAAATCCTCCAAGTTACTAGATGAATCCTCTCCATCATTGAAAAGTTTAGAAAAATAAGTCTCCCATCTATTTTTAATTTCATCATCTGTAACTAAAATTCTTCCCTCTTCATCCTTAATACACCTTACCTGTTCTAGATCTCTTGATTTTCTTTCCCTACTCTTGGCAATCTTATAAATATTTTGCTCTCCTTCCTTCGTCTCAAGGTTCTTATAAAATTCTTCAAAAGCTTTGGAACGAGCTTCACCCACAGCTCTCTTAGTTTCCTTCTTAGCCATACGGTACCTCTCCCAATTTTCCTCATTGTTACACAAATGTATGGCTTTAAAACAGTTCTTCTTATACTTGATTTTGTCCTGTACACTATTATTCCACCACCAAGACTCCTTATCTCTCGGACCAGAACCTTTCGATTCTCCCAAAACTACTTTTGCAACCTCCCGTATCTTTTTAGCCATATCCTCCCATATGATGTTAGCACTTCCCTGAGAATCCCAAATTCCTTTATCCAAAAGATTTCGCTTGAAAATATCTTGCTTCTCACCTTTTAATTGCCACCACCTAATCCTTGGTGTTACTACTTGTCGACGTTTTTGGATTTTACTCATAATACACACATCAAGGACTAGGACCCTATGTTGTGTCGTTACAGCATCTCCAGGGATCACCTTACAATTTTTACAAAGTTTTCTATCTGTGTTCCTAACCAAAAGAAAATCAATCTGCGACCTTGAGGCTCCACTTTTGTAAGTGATGAGATGCTCATCTCTCTTCTTGAAACAAGTGTTGGCAATCTTAAAATCATACGCCAATGAGAAATCAAGAAGAGTTTGCCCTTCATTGTTTAGCTCTCTAAAACCAAAACCACCATGCACCCTCGCATACTGACCAGCTTCCCTCCCGACATGCGCATTAAAGTCTCCTCCAATAAAAATCTTTTCACTCTGTGGTATGTGTCGAATCAACCCCTCCAGATCCTCCTAAAATAATTCCTTAAGACTGGCTTCTGTCCCGACTTGCGGCGCATAAGCGCTAACAATATTAACAGTCTCACGTCCAATTATCATTTTTAAAGAAATAATTCTGTCTCCAATTCTGCTAACTTCTACAACGTTCTTCTTCCACTCCTTATCTATAATAATGCCTACTCCAGTGCGTGCACTTACTTTTCCTGTATACCAAAGTTTGAAACCTTGAATATCCTTAGCTCCTTCTCCACGCCTTTTTGTTTCTTGCAAGCAAAGGATATTGATTTTCCTTTGAATCATAACCCCTACAACCTCTACAGATTTACAATTTAATGTCCCAACATTCTAAGTACCAAATCTAATTTTGCTCTTATGGACTAACTTCTGTAGCCGCGTGCGTCCAGAATGACGCGGTAGCCATTGCTCATTTAACACTACATTCGGGCGCCGATGCAGCGGCTCTAACTCACTTATCACTGTACTCGAGCCATGCAGCGCGTTACTTACGGGCAACGACCTAGCATTAACATTATAACGTCTATTGTCCATGTTCATGATAGATTCAACAAATTTTTACATTGGCTGTTGATGGCCTAACACAACTCTCCTCCTTTACCCGGGCTTGGGACCGGCTATAAACATAGGCGGAGTTAATTTAATCTTTGCCAAAATAAATAAATTTCTATACTAACGTGGGGTAAAGTTGAAACTAACTCTCATTCTCCTTTTGCTTTAATCCCCTTAGCGCAGATCATTAATAATGAAATAACAACTTGACTAGAGAGTATCAGAGTTCTGAGCAATAGATCTAGAAATTTGATTTGTTAGAAATTAGAGATTTAGAAATTAGAAATTTGTAAATCTCTAATTTATTAGAGATTTAGAAATTTGTCCACCTACACTGCAATGTATTAACTGTTTTTATAACTTATACTGGAGCCTAATATCTCTATCGCTGATTAGATAAGAGAAGGACATCTCTTGATAAAACTCTCCTATACATGTCTGTCTGAGAAAAATCCGTTTTGTGAGATTTATAGAATTCTTCCTTAATGTAGACCTCTGTTTAAAACTTTGGAAAATCAATCAAAACATATTGTGATCTTCTCATTGTTAAATCTCAACCTCTAAATATCTACAGGCCCCTAGAATGGAACATAGAACTTCCAAAGAAGAAACCAAGTCTTTCTGGATTGCCCCAGTTTTCATTATGTCCTGCCCCAAAGAATTCACGTGAACACGATGAGTGGGGGAGATTTTTGAATTTTCTGCACATGAATGACAAGGTAAATGATCAGTGTTTTCTTAAATTATTTTCTCTTTGTTTTGTTTGCTTTTATTCTTTTCCTGGTGAATGTTTAATTACATGAACTTATTGAATTATATTGTATGCTATGATTTTAAGCAATTAGATGAAATCTCTTTGTTTTCTTTTTTCACATTTAGGTAGTCAGTGTACATCTGGGTGAGTTGTGGCTTTGTGTTTCAAACTGAAGTCCTGTTATGGATTTTATAGTACTAACTATGTGATGATTTTTTGGTAGCATTATTTTATTTCAGTGGAGGTGCTTTTTCTTAGTGGATATGTAAAATGGAAAAACTAAACCATTGAGGAGGCAACCATAAGCACATCAGAAGTCTACAAATAGAAGCTCTATTGAGCTGGGTGAAGACGATAGACCAAGGAAAATAAGACCTTGAAGCAAGCTGAAAATGTAACTGGGTCTCAAGAATTAAACCTGAACCGTGGGCTTTTCAACGTGAGGATCAAGTAATCAAGTTGGTGTGTTGGAAATCATTTTGAAGAAAATTCATATTCAAAAAGGCTTGTTTATTTATCATGGTGGTTATGAGAAGTTGAGAACCAGACTGGCTGGTTCAATAGCTAGTGGCAGATATTGGTCCATAGTCTGGTTCAAGCATTTTAACAATTTTGTGATCACACCTGACTGACATTTAACTGTAATTTGGCCAAAGTCGGCCAAGATGCTTCATATTATATGATATACCAACAATTATACTTAATACAGGATTTCGCTATATTTATCTATTCATGCTTCTCTAACAAATTAATTTCAAAGAAAGAGGTAAACTTCAACTGATATTAAAATAAATAATAATGAATTTGTAGGCACTGATAGTAGAATTTGTCTTTTCAGTAGACTTTCATATTCCATGCAGTGGATATAACTCGTTGTTAAGTATCTGAAGTTTTTTATTCCACATTGGGCTATCTAATGTCTGTGTGGTTGGCTGATATTGAGTAACTTAGTTGACCTGAGATCTTTGATTAGAATTATATTGAATGGGATTGCATCAATGTGTTGACAATGGGGATGGTAAGTCATTCTGGTTTCTCATTTATTTATATTTTGTAGGGAGAATGACATTTAAGGCCCTCTCAAAGAAATTTATTGCAATAAGGGCCCATCAATTTTGCATCATATATTGTCTTGTGAAAATATATATGTTTTGTTGTTAAAAGCTGAACCGTGACTTGTCAAATTTCTGAGGAAACCTTAACAAAAGATACAAGTTAAGGTTAAGCTTTTAATAACATCTACGTGTTTTTACAAGACAATATTTGATTCAAAACTGATGGGCCCTCATTGCAATAAATTCTCTTGAGAGTGCCTTAAATGTCATTCTCCCTATTTTATTTCTTCTTGTGGTTTAGTTCCTCTCAAACTATCCTTTTAGTTTTCCTTCTTCTGCATCAAGCATTTCACTTTTACAGGGAAAACTTTGTTAGTACTAGTCTATATGTATGACTAACTAATGGGTTTATCGTTTATTTTTCCCTGTGCTTTTGCATTTTCTTTTGAGCTCTAAATGTTATTCACTTTTACAGCCCCAAATCAAAAGATATGGAGAAGTTCTAGGTAAGTGGTGTCTGCTCAGTTGGTTAGGTAACTGCATGGAAAGTGTGAAGTTGAATGTGGGATGCATGGAGGGTGGTAACAAGAGTGCTTCTAGAAGAGGTTGATTGTGCTAGTGGAATATATTGGGGGTGAGGGCCAGTGGAGAGATAGGTAGAATTTGTGTATCCACGTGGAAGGTTCTGGCTCCTTGAAATGCTGGGGAATTTTTTGTATTATTGTACGGATGTGATTTTTGTATTATCTGTTTTTGGGTCTGATTTCCACTGTAATTATAGGGAGATACTGGGTTCCTAACATTGGCTAAGTCTCGACTTTTACAGGTTGCTACTTCGGTGGTTGAACGGTACAAGTTCTACATACTGCCTCCTGTTGAAGCCTCAACATCTAGCCCAGTCAGAGTTGCATATCAGATGGGCAATTCGAGGGATAATGAATCAGGTTTTCTTCTACACTTAATTGTTTATCTGCTTAGATAGTGATCAGTGTCACATAGAATAAATGAAGTTTAATAGCATTAGGAACTCTTGTATGGATGTGGAATAATAAGTTAATAGTGCAAGCATAGCCTAATTGTTGTGAGTTGTTTTGGGTTACATATTACATTGGTTTCTCCAAGCATAGAGACAAAGGGTGAAAATGACCTGCAGTGGATGCTTCCACAGGAGGTCCTCATCCGGCTGAGGAGCATGGTGGATCTGACGCTATAAAGGGAGGAGGTCCAGCAAGTGATGCAGATTTATGCTTCCCCTCCCCTGGCCCTAAGATTTCTCAAGCTGAAGATTGTGCTTGTCATTCTACGGCTGAACAGTTTAGCAGATCTCGAAATATTGTGAAGCAGGAAAGAATCTCTCAGAAAAATTACATACGTGTGGACCCAAGTTACCTGAAAACTCTTGTTCAAGTTCATTCTGGGTGGATTTTCGGTGGAATAGCTGAACTTGTTGATAATTCAAGAGACACCAAGGCAGCTAAGTAGGTTTTGTTTTGATTTCTTGCACTTAGTCAACTAGTTGTATATTTCTTGGTACTTTTGTGGAAAATGAATGGCGATCACTAGTGTCTGTATTTAGCACTCTGTTAATACTTTTGTTTTGACATGGGAAACTTTTCTCCTTATCTGATTGATCAGTACTTGTTAGTAGCATTTTGGATATCTTATGTTTAACTGATTAAAGTGAATGGTAAGGGGAGATGGAATTAATTACACCATTTACTTATCTTTACACTTGTTGGCAAGAAGTCAGAATATGCCTACTTGATGTCTGAATATAATGTGCAGTGTACTTCTGCTTATATCAGTATTAGGGCCCATCTATTGAAGTGGCATTTTTCCTGTTGGGATTATGACTTTATATTTTGAATGGGAAAAATTGTAGAACTGGTATACATGATGCGTTATGTTCTAGAAAATTTAATGTGAGGTCTTTTTCCCATCAAACTATACTTGTTTGTTGGTGCAATGTATCAGGATGGACATTTTTATAGATACGATAAAGTTGAAGAAATCTGGTAACGATGAACCTATGCTTTCAGTTATTGATGATGGCCAAGGTATGGAATACAAAGACATTTTGAAAATGGTTTCCTTTGGGCACAAGCAAAGTAATAGTGATGATCCAGATCGCATTGGAAGATTTGGTGTTGGATTCAAGGTAGGTTTTCCCTACTTTAAATTTAATTTTTTTCTTATTATGAAAGGATGAGAACAAGAAGGTTGTGTGCTCGCATTTACATTTTATTTTGGAATTCTGGGACGTGTATAAAAACATTGGAAAAAGTTTTTTTCTTTTGATATGCCTGTGTGTTTGAGTGGTTATCTTACCTTTGTCTTACTGCTAATCTTTTTTTGTGTAAGCATTTATTTCTTGATGAGTTTGTTTCTTTACTTTGTTGATCTGGGTATGAGGACTATCCAAAAAATGAACTTGAAATTCATAACCTAGTTCAGTTTCATGTGGTTTTGAATGAATAAATTAATATGTACACCTTCAATTTCACCTATATCTATATTTTCCGAGGTTCTTTCTGTAGTGGATTCTAAATTGTCCAACTCTTTTTATGCAGACTGGAGCAATGAGGCTTGGCAATGATGCTCTTGTTTTAACCCAGACTGCTAATTCCAGATGTATAGCTTTCCTTTCACAGTCTTTGAATGAAGGGAAAGAGGTATTTTCCATGATAAATAATATGAAATTACCATTCTTTTTTTGGAAAATTTTCGGAGAGGTTATGTTGTGTTAACAAAAAAAAAAAAAAAAAAGAAACTCTTGTTTCTGACATGATCCTTGATTAAAGAATCAATCATAACTGAAGGTGTTGGATTGAATTTATTTGTTTGTGTTAAATAATTTTTACTTTTAATTCTTTTCACTCTCTGCTTTTTAGAATGTTGAGATCTCCGTAGTTTGCTATCGCCGACGAGGACAGTGCATGGAAGTGGATACAAATGTTCGGTCTGAAGCTGAGGCAAAATGCAATTTGAAAGCCATAAAGGAATTTTCACCATTTAATAAGTATCTTATTGGTGAAAAGTTAGCATTGTTTTCCGGTGGCACAGGAACACAAATCTACATACGGAATCTTGATAAATGGGGATCAAATTATTGTCTGCAATGGTATGATGGATTAAAAGGTAGCAGCTCTTTCCACGATCGTGACATTTTCATCCGATCTAGAAGGATCCGTTCTCGCCCTGGCCAAGTCAGTGTTAAGGTTGGGGTTCCTTTTTCTTTCTCACTTTTTTTTCCCTTTTTAATACATGGTTGTATAATTTATACTAGTAAAATTTTTACTAAAGCTGTTTTGATCCTTTTGTCTAAGTCAGATCTTTGGTATAAATTATACAAAACTCCCCTAAACTTTGGCCCATATGTAAATCTATTGATCTAAGCTTGACTAGGAACCCTCCTAAGCTTTTAATTTTGTGCAAATAACTCTCCTTCTGTAATTATGTCTTTAGTTCACTGACAGAGCATAATGCGGTACTAATCAAATACCCCCCTTAAACTTTATTTTTTTGTGGAGATGATTCTCTCAAACTTTAAGTTATATGCAACTCCCGTAAAGTTTAAATCATGTGCAGATAAACCCATTATCATATGTTATTTTAATGAAATAATTGAGAAATCAACTGAAGGGGGAATTAGAGGAGTTCTAGATAATTCTGCCTATGGTATTTGACAGTTATGTTGTTGAGGGACACTACCAAAATAATTTTACATAGATTTGTTGTCATATGCAAATTATTTTAATTGATATGTGCGCTTTCAAAAAATATATATGTATATATTTTCTAAATGTTATTTTACAATATTCGCATTGACTTAATTTTAAAACATTTTATATATTTATATGTGTGCGAAAAAATAATTCAACCTTGGTTCAACTACAGTTGGATCATTAAAACATTGGAAAATTTGTTGATCATTTCATGTTACTCTGTTTTAGGTTCAATTGGATTATTCACTTCGATCTTATCTGGAAGTTATCTTCTTAGTTCCTCGGATGAAAATAAGTGTTCAACATTCACTGGTAATTACATTTTTGTTTTTCGTTTTGAGGATGAAATATGTTATTGCATGATCCAAGGAGAAAATTTTCTTTTTGCATGCTGAGTTTCATTCTAACAACTACCTTGAAATATGCGCAGGTTAGAAGTCGTCCTCTGGGAAATTTTCTTACTAAAACTGTCATTGAAACCGGTTTTGTCCTGGGAAAGCATGTGCACTTGATCCTGGGATTCAGTCAATTAGAATGGGAGCAGGCAAACTGCGGAATATTTTTGTATTGGCGTGGTCGCTTGATTGAAGTAAGGTGTTGGTCCATGTTGTAGGTTAAACCAGTAATGGGTTATTGGTACAATGTTAGCGCTTGAACAAAAAGGATGTGGCAGGTTTTTCAATGTTATGACAATTAAAATAATTTTACCTAATACTTCTGAGGTTAGGTATAGCTGTATAGCACTAGTACCCAGCAGGCATCTGTAGCCGTGCCAGACCAAAGGCTTGCTAATGAGCCCATTTGACATTCACATAATTTCTATGTATCCCTTTCATTTGTAATCACTTGAGTGTTGAGTTGCGCGTGTTGTGTGTTTGAAGTTGTTCATGTCTTGACATCTTGAGTCTTGAAGAATAGATTAACTTGGTTGCTTCATTATGAAATCAAGCATGCATGCTTATTCTGTATGTTCTTTGTACGAACTAACTAATTTTTCTCTACTTTTATAGGCTTACAAGAGAGTTGGTGGCATGATTCGTAATGCAGACGTGGGCCGTGGTGTAATTGGTGTCATAGACGTGACTGATTTAATGGTATGAACTCTTATAATTTTTAAGTACATTCCAATCTCATTGTCCTCTAATGTTATATTATTTGGAATGGTCCCTAACTTGTAAAAGAAAAGCAGTTTCGACAGGTGCTTTAACATTTTGTCCATGGTGTGCGATTAGTTTTTGTGACTTCAATTATGTGTGCTTTCAAGCTGCCAGATTATTGTTATCAATGTTGTTAGCCTGAATCATGATGATTGAAGCTGCTTAGGTTTCAATAATGTTTGTGTCTCTTGTTAATTTCTCCGCCTTTTTTAATAAAACATTTATTCAATATTTGGCTGTTTTTTCTGTTGCAACATTACAACCACTGAACTATTGTTGTTGCATCTTCCATGGCACAGAATGATGGCGATGGTCGTATCTGGGTGCATAATAACAAGCAGGGATTCCAGGACTGTGAATCATATGCACTTCTAGAGCTGTGGCTTGGTAGAAAAGTAGATGAATACTTGGACAACAATTTTGATTCACTTAAGTTGGTGAATAACTTTGTGAATTCTTTCATGAATATATCTTTGCTTGATGCTAGTTGTTCCTTGTGTCCTAAATATTGTTTATAAGTTGATTTCTTTCTTGGAGTTTGTTTCATATTATTGAATAGCACTGGCTGTTAATCAAATTTTGGTTGATTAATGTCACAGGCTGGCATTTGATTTGAGTTTTCATCACGAGGTTAAGTTATTGTATGTTTAAATTGGGAAAATGAGTGGCATCTAAATTAATTAATAAAATAATAGAATGCCATGCAGATAGAACGTGTATATCTTTTTGGGGAAGTGAGCCAAATTTGTTTGTTTTCTTTTACATGTCCTCGAGGACAATGAAAATTGTGTCTACAAACCAGATTGCGAATGGGTACAGTGTGACAAGTGCAGAAAATGGAGAATTTTGCCTCTTGACTTTGACGTCACATTGTTGCCTGCACAATGGTATGTTCATAAAGATATATTCTTTTTAGTTACTTAGGTTTATCCTGTCAATTTTTTGTTTCTGCATTTCCATTTGATACTGTATTTTCTACATCATAATATCAAGCTGTTGTACCAGGTTCTGTTACATGGAGCCCTTCAAAGGACTGTGTTCAGCTGCGGAACAAAAAATGGAGCCTAGCGTTGTCAATGTTTCGACAAAGCGGTGTGGATATGATACTGACAAGGGTACAGGTTGGTTGGTTGATTTCTAGTTCTACAAACTTGAGAGGCAATCTTGGTTTTGATTTCTGGTGATTGCTTTCTGCAGATGAAAGGGGGGTGGCGTGTGGAGATCTGAAACCGCGTGCTTTAAAAAGATTGAGGTAGGGACGTCCTGAGTCTAAGGCTAAGGTTAGTTATAATTCTTGTCTCCCGGACAGGTCTCAGCATCCCAACGTTTAAACAACTGACACTGACAGCTTTTGTGGTACTCTTCACAATTTGAATGCCTTGTTCATATGTGAAACTGAAAACTCATTCATTTCTGCCCAAATTTTATAACTAACTAATCGTGGTGCCAGCTCCTTGTACAGTTGTCCGGTCTGAAATGGATCTGTATAGTCCTTTTTTGTTTTTTCAGTAAAATCTTTAGAAGAAAGAAAAGGAGTACATGGAAGGAAGTAAGTGGGACCACTCTCGATAAGCACTACATCTGGGCAAAGAGTACTTGGGTAGCAAAATCCAAGAATATTGAATTTATAAAATGAGACTTATTTATTTTTATTTTTTTGCTTTTTTTAATGGAATATCATTTTATTAGCGTATAATATTGATGACATTTAAAAAGAATCACTGGCTATTGACAATGATTAAAAAGTTATTGTAAGGTATATAAATAAATGAAATTGAAAGGCAGACGGGCAAACTTATTTAATGTTCATGAATACATAACAATTAAATAAAATATGACAAGCTATTAGGTAATTTTAGGAGACTTGTTAAAACTAAATTTAAAAGATTTAACATTATATAAAAAAATATAGATAAATAATTAGTAGTATAAAAATTAAAGATTTGTGGTTATGTTATAAAAGTAGTTTAAAGATTAAGTAAAATGAATTAGTAAACATTAATGAGAATAAAGAGGAAAAAGTAAAGTAGCCTTTGCTTATGCTTTGCGTATTAACTACTACTCCTTGAACCCCACATCGAAAGACATAAAAAGACTTGAAGGGGCATTGCCTTATGTAATGGCCCTAGGAGGCAACATGTGAGCTGAGTTAGCATTTTGGCAAAAAGTAGAACTTTGGGCCCAGTTGTATGTTAAAAAGGAATTTTTATTCAATTTTTTATCTTTTATTTTTTAATTTGTTTTTAAATTTTTCCCGTGGTCAGGTTTTAACATTTGAATTGCTTTTGGTTTTTTTTTTTTTTGGGTTTTGTTGGTTTTTTACTAGTTCAAAAGAGTTCAATTTGTGGCGACAAATCGGACATTTGGACTTGTTAAAGATGAATTAGCCATCATATTGAATGGGAAAGAAGACATCAAGAGTTTGTGAGAAGAATTGGGAATTTTCGTCATTTTTGTGTTCGGTTGAAAGGGAAGGGGAGAGAAATTTGAATGAGTTCAATTTTAATAAACAAAACAGTTAAAAGCTTTTTAATTATTTTTTTTCTTACTATTTTACCTTAAAAATTTGTTTTTGGTGAGTGGGTGAGAATTTCTAGAATTTGCAATTACTGTCTTAGGGCTTGCTTGTTTTTTGCTTTTAAAAAACTGTTTTTGGTTTTTGAAGGTAAAAATTTGCTTGAATAAATGTTTTGTATTTTGTTGTTTCTAAGACTGTTTTTTGTTTAAAAAATTTTTTATTTTTAAAATATATTTCTTCTATTTAAAAATGTAATGAACTGAATTTTACCTCCAATAAAGTGATTACCTACTTTTAAACTAACCTTATCTTTTCATATTTATTTTTATTAAACACCCTATAATAAATATAAAATTACTATCAATAGGAGTACTTTTGAAAAAAAAAGATAATGATTACATTTTAAAAGACTAAAAATGTCTTATATTTTTTAACATCCAACAACTTAAGAAATGCCTTACATTTTTAAATGGAAAGAGTACTACATTTAATTATTAAAAGTTATAATTACTTTAACTAATTTTTATTATTAATAACTACCATTAACTATCTATAACTATCATTATCAATTCATTTTTAATTTTAAAATTATTTTTAATTGATATAACCAAACATATTTTTATTTTGTTTTGTTTTAAAAACAATTTTAGAAACTATATTTCAAAACACTTTTTAAAAACAAAAAATAAAAATAGATACCAAATGGGCCTGTAATTTCTCCCACTCTATTATATTATATTTATAATGGAGATAATTACCATTGTTTATTTCTGGATATTAGTCCTTTTTATGAAGAAAGGAAAATTATTAGTCTTTGTTTTTTTTTGAGAAAAATTATCAATCTTTAATATCACATCAAACAATATTAACCTTTTTGTAATTATTATTTTCTATTACAATATAAGGAAGAATTGTTTAAAAAAACCTCACCATAAATTTAATTGCAAATAAGGAGTTGTGACAAATTTTGAAATGGCCTCTTGTTGGCATTAATTGCTAAGGGCTAAATGATATAAATGCCCTTGCTGTAAAAAACAAAAACAAAAGTGGAGCGAGATTTTTCATTGTCAATAATTTCATATCAACACTTAATATAGGGTCCTTTGATGTCATTATGTCAAAGAAGGTTATATGCAATGATTCTTCCACTTTATGTGAAAATATTTTCATTTATTTGAATAATACTTTTGTATTTTTTGAAAATTTTTAACTTAAGCATTTTAGAATACTAGAAGCATGGTTCTTCAATTATATATAGGGATTTTTTTCACTATATGTTTTTTGAATTTCAATTATATGCAAAAAAAAATTTCATTTACTTAAATAATCCTTTTGCATATTTTGAAAATTTTTAATTTAGAAGCATTTAAGAATACTAAAAGCAGGGTATTCAATTATATGCAGTAATTTTTTTTACTATATGCATTTAAACTTTAATTTTATGGAAGAAAACTTTCATTTATTTGAATAACACCTTTTCATATTCAAATATCACTCATTAATTTCTTTTATGGATGTTTTTAAAAGCAACTGTAATTTTTCTTTTTCGATATACGACTGATCTTTAATAAAATAAATTTTTTTCATATATATGAAGAACACTTTTGCATATTCAAATGAATGAAAGTCAATTTTAATTTCTTGAAAGGTGCATACATGTTAAGGAAAACGGGTCACACATGGTTGAAGATATCTCCATAAAGTCCTAAAACATAATTTTAAGTGTAAAGTTTTCAAAATATTTAAAATAGTTATTCAAATAAATGAAAAAAAAAATATATTTTCATGATTTTCAAAATGTATATTTGAAATTGGCTTAAAACTTGAAGTTTGAATATTGTATCAATAGTGTTTTTATTTTCAGCTAAAATATTGTGTTTTCAAGATATCACAAATATATATTCTAAAAAGTTACATAAAATGCCTCTTAGATTCAAATATGTATTTTGCATATTTTAAAAATTGTATCATTCTTCATAAAAATACCTATGGATATTTTAAAAACACAAATGATTATTTTAAAAATTTATATAGAATGCACCTTATATTTGAATATACATTTTACATATTCTAAAAATCATATTTTTTTCATGAAAATACCTATGAATGTTATGAAAAAAAACAAATGATTATTCTGAAAATTTACATATAATGCATCTTATATTTAAATATACATTTTGCATATTTTAAAAATTGTATCATTTTTCATGAAAATACTTATGAATATTTTGAAAACATAAATGATTATTCTGAAATTTAAATAAAATGTACCTTATATTAGAATATATATTTTGCATACTTTGAAAATTGTATCATTTTTTATGAAAACATTTATGAATATTTTAAAATTTTTACACTTTCAACATTGTTAGTGCAGATATTATCAATCTCTTGCCTTTTTTTGCAATTCCAATTGTGGTTTTAGTACAAAAGCTTCCAACTCTAACTTAAAGTATAAAGAAAAATAATTAAATACTGACAAATCCATTTATCATTAAGCAATAATATATTCATATACTCCTTGACAACATAATAATACATTATACACAGTCATAGGAAAAATGATTCATCTATAGGAGATAAACCCTGGAGAAAAAAAATTAATGTGAACCACACAAATACAAGCAGAGAGAAACACATGCCCTCAAATACTAGATCATCTTCATTCTTGGAAAATGCAAGACTGCGGGTCACTAAAATTTTCTCAAGATCTGTTCATGCAATGGTTGTTCAGTGGGAAAGAACGATAAATTCTAGTTGTTCAGTGTCAGAATCCGCCATAATCCTCTCACCTTTGGAACAAGAGAAAGGATTAAAAAGAATTAGATATACTGATAAACTACCTCTAGCATGTTGGCGATGCAGCTACAGTCAGAAACGAGAAACTACTGCCTGAAGTGCCAAATAAGAAATGAGCACTTTCTGTTATAGCAAGAAATTGACAGTATACCATTATAGCAATGAGATATGAAAGGATGGGAATGTCGACACCTCAAGTCAAAAGGTATGCGAATAATTTCAGGAAATGCTTCGATCAAATGAGTTTGTAAATCGTGGGGAAGGGAAGGAATTTCACATCCGAGACCGTTTCTGAACAACATTGGAAATATGACGACCAACATTAGAATTTCATATCAGAGGAATTAAGGTTAGGGATCGGAGGAGAGAAACAGATCGAAGAACCAAAGAGGGATCGAGTAACCACTCGCCGTTGCCATCGAGCTGCAGCCACAACGATGGTAGAAATCGCATGGGAGCGGGAGAAGGAAGAGGATTTGGTCAAGGATAATTGTCATTTAACTCTTGAACATATTGACACCGTAAGACCCAAGTTCCTCTCCAAATTCGAAGTCCTTCTCAACAATAAATATTTTGTGGTTTAAATGTTTTTTTTTTCTTTTGAAAAAGATGCTCCCAAATCCCCAATAAGCCGATACCCATGTTATTCTAATTTTTTTAATACAAATTTTAGTTTTATTAGAAGAATGTTATTTTTATTTTATATATTTAAAAATAATTTGATGTCTATTTAATTATTAGAAAATAGAAACACTTATCCCTTGAGCAATTTGTTAAAAAGGAGAATTTTATTATAGGATTACTGATGAGACATTTTATCAAATTAGGATTAAAGAATCCTAAAAACTCACTAGAGGACTAATGAACTTACTTGAAAGTATGTTTTGAAGAGAAATGACATTATGTTCTTTATGGTATTAACAAGTAGCATTCATCAACAAGTTTTGCTAGTTAATTAATAAATAATATTAATAAAATAACAAGCTAATTAGAGTTTTTACATATCACCATGATTGAATGTATAGATGGTATTTTAACAAGTTGAGCAAGTTTTACCATTGATTGAACAAGAATTATTATTGAATTAACAAGTAAAATTAGGGCTTTAACAAGTCACCAAGAATTGAATATTTAAAAGATACCATCAACAAATTTCACTTGTAAATTAATAGATAATATTAAAAAAAAATAACATTACACTCGTTAAAAGGCATTGTGGTCATTTTTCTTCTAAACATATTTTCAATCCAGTCTTTTGGTCTTAGAGTGAATTTTCAAAATTATTTGGTCCTGATTTGATATAATTTCTCATCAATAGCCCTATAATATCCCATCAATGATCCTATAATGAAATTCTTCCTTGTTTTTTTTTTTTTCAACTGAAGAAATTCTT